CAGGCAGCCCATAACCCTTCCTCCAATGATTATACAAGTCCCAGGCTACCTGTGGTGTCTGGGCCCTCTCTCTCTTGGAAAATGAATAAACCTGTACTTTCTCTGCCTCCCATGGTGTCTTTCAGTGAATTCTTTCATAGTCAAGGAAGCTCCTAGACCTAACATTTCTGGTGAGCCAGACTGGAGAGATTCCTTCATCACCAATCAGCTGCTCCAGATGGTGGCATAAACAAAAGTTTGGCAGTCTTTTTTTCATTTTTATTTTCTTGAGGAGGTGCTTCTAGGGTAGGATGGCAATTGTTGAGCTTCAAACTTAGAAGCTTTAGTTAAGGCCTGTGGGGACGGTATACTCTCTCTCTCCAGCCCACTGTATCATGGAGTCAGAATTTTTATTGTGGCTTTTGGCCAATGATGATCTTCTGAGGAGAGACACCTCAAGTGCACTCTGAAGTAAAAATGTGGTCCTGTCCCATACTCACTCCCTTCTCTGTCATTGTGATCCACACTCCCTTGGTACCTGCTCAGGCCTCCTCTCTTGGGTGTTTCTTGAAAAAAACAACAGAAGACTATGTCAAAGGAAAGCCCTGACCATCAGCTGTAATGTTGCTTGGCCATAATGCTAACTGGGTGACCAAACTCATCTCTGTCTCTTGGCCTCTCAGCAATGGCTGTAGGTAGAGGACATTTTTGTAGTAGGCGAGTCTGCTCATTTCCACGTACAAAGTTTGCTTGAACATCTATACCACAAATGACATCTTAGGAGCAGAAGATGATACCTGGGCATACAGACAAGCTTTGGGTGAGCTGCTGCTCCCCAGAGTTTGCATTCTAGACACTGAAACACGAGTCATTTGAGGTAGGGAATGTTCCTTTCTCCATCAAAACAAGGTGATGTTCTGTGCTCTTACTTGAGAATTCATAAGCCTAAGATAGTACATTGTTGATAGATAACATTTGGCATGCCTTCTGACCAACAAAGCATATAGGGCTTAAGCTTAGTGAGGATGCTAGCCAAAATGTAAGAAGTTGCCTAGAAATATATTACTGAATTTGTGTGTAGATATGCCAGCATCAGAACTTGAACTCAAGGCCTGAGGCTCCTACTTTGAGAAATACCTATATGTAAGGAGTTAGCTGAGACATAGTACCTAGAAAGTTAGCTAAACTTACCAATATAAATAATACTAAAAAGGACAGGAAGTGAAGTGCTGGTGTCAAGATCCATGGTGGCTTATTAATTTATTTTTTTCTGGTCGTGGGCCTGAAATCTGGTCCTGGACACTGTCCCTCAGCTCTTCAGCTCAAGGCTAGCACTCTACCGCTTGAGCCACAGCACCACTTCTGGCTTCTTCTGCTTATGCGGTACCGAGGAATCAAACCCAGGGCCTCATGCATGCAAGGCACTCTACCACTGAGCCACCTTCCCAGCCGTTTTACTTAAAAATTTTAGTGTCGCTTTCAATGGCCAGCTAGGCAACTCTCAGCCACAGGACAATAGCTACTAAACCCCGTATGAACTCACCAAGGCAACTGAAAATGTGTGGCTGGGCACCAGTTCTTACACCTGTAATCCTAGTTGCTCAGGAGGCTGAGATCTGAGGATCAAAGTTTGAAGCCAGCTCTGGCAGTACAGTCCTTTTATCTCCAATTAAATAGTAAACAGCTGGAAATAAAAATACGGCTCAAGTGACAGAGCACCAGCCATGAGCAAAACAGCTGAGTAAGACAGCAAGGCCCAGAGTTGAAAGCCTTAGTACAGGCATAAAACCAAACTATTGCCTTTTTTTTTTTTTTTTTTGGTCTTTTGTAGCTTTTTTTTTCCCCAGGGCTGAGGACCGAACCCAGGGCATTGTGCGCACCGGGCGGGCGCCCTTCCCCTGGGCTAAACCCCCAGCCCCCATAAAACCAAACCAAACTAAACATGTGGCATTGAAGCTGAAAAGTAAGAGGATAATTATTACTATGACTATTAAGAATCTTGAGTCCTTACATTGACATGTTGAACTAAAACCCTTTGTATTACTTAAGAGTCCTTGACTACCCTGTCCTAACAGAAACCATGGTGTAGACATCTTCATTACAGTAATCTCCAGAAAACACTGGTATGAATAAATCAAAATTCACAGAACTAGTAAGGAGCAAGAGTACTAAGAAGATTTAGCAGTTCATTTGCCCCATTACCTGATAACTGAAGAACTGAAGTCAAATCTTCTCATAACTACATTATGAGGAGCCTCATGGGCATGTAGCAGAAGTCTCTGGTGCTGAGACGGGGTGTGTGTGTGTGTGTGTGTGTGTGTGTGTGTGTGTGTGTGTGTGTGTGTGTGTGTGTGTGTGTGTGTGTGTGTGTGTGTGTGTGTGTGTGTGTGTGTGTGTGTGTGTGCACACACATGCGGGTGCATGTATGCACACACAGTAGTGGGGTTTAACTCAGGGCTTGGGCACTTACCTTTAGCTTTTTTGTTCAAGGATAGTGCTCTACCACGTGAACCACAGTTCCACTTATGGCTTTTTAGTGGTTAATTGGAAACAAGACCCTCAAGGACTTTCTTGCCAGGGCTGGCTTTAATATATGATCCTTAGAACTCAGACTCCTGAGTAGCTGGGATTACAAGTGTTAGCCACTGGTGCCTAGCATGGTACTGAACACTTGGGTGGAAGATGTGTGCTGTCAACAAGGAACAGTAAAGACAAGGGAGGTACAGAACAATGAGGCAAAGCCTGGACCTCAGTGTTGGCCTCAATAAGCAGCTGCTTCCATGTGAACCCTCTATGGAGGCCTTAATTCTCACCACCAGTATATGGGAAGATTTAGCTATGTATCTGAGTCCTAAATCCCTCTGATATTTGCAGATCAGGCCTGGGAAGCATGCCTACTTCTCAGGCCTTGGAAATGAGGGAGATGAACCTCTGTTGATTTAAAATCAGCACAGAATTATTACAGGGTTTGAGGGTCCCACAGTTACTGAGTATATATGTTAGAATTGTGACTCCCCTAGCTTTGCTATAATCCACAAATGCAAGGACCTCTGGCTTATGGGATACTGCTAGTTGCTGAGTGGAGAAATCTCCCTTTGGTGATTTCTCCAATATCTCCAAGTGTCTCCAAAAGGAAAAAAAAACTGATTTTACTGGCAAGTGTCTATGGTGATTATATGCTGTGGAGATAAAAATAGCTGAGTTACACATTGCTGGCATCTACCACCCACTGTTCCAAATATACACACTAGTGTGTTGGGGGTAGTTAACAGCAAATCTACTGAGTATGTATTACCTTTCGGTCCAAATCATGTCAAGGAATTCTAAGGCAAATCTTAGTTTTAGATTTGATGCAGGAAGAAACAGACTGTCTATGGAAGACTTCAGAGTCTCCTCTGTGGCTCTTTAAAGTAGTATGTAGACCTTCTGTATAAGTTATTCTTTCTTGAGATTAGAGCACAGGTTAGGATTGGGCTGACCATGGATCAACCTCTAAGGACCTCCTGGGACAGACAAAGGAAGGAGAGGGGAGGGACTTGGCTCACCCCTTAGTGGATCATTAAGGAGAGGCACACAGAATGCCCTTGGGGGCTCCTGCTAGTGTGTGTGTTTACTGCCTGCCTGGGTCAGGCTGCTGTCACCATCTTCTCACCCATAGCTATGGCATTCGAAACCACTCACCATAGAGAACATTATAATTTCCAACACAAGCTCTGACAACAAAATAAGAACTAGCGTCTTTCTAAATGCTGAGTCTGTTTACTTGCAGGAAGGATCCAAGTTTCTTCATTTACTTGGACATACACAAAAATGAGGTGGTAATCCATTAAGAAAGCACTCTAAATATGCCAGGGGCATTTTACAATTGCAGGAGGAACAAATACCTGGTTTACCTGAACTTGAGGTCATGACCCAATTGTTTTTATTAGGAGCTCTGGTAAATTGCATGGCAGAATTAGTTTTAGTTCTTATCCCCATTTGGGTAGAAAGTTCTCCAAAGCCCTGCCATCTTTAGAGACCACAGACTCACTAACTACTAAAATCCCACCACCCTTTATTATTATTTTTTTTGCTTTACTTTGGCTATTGGTATTTTCTGTTATTTTGAATTATAAATGCAACACTTTGGTTTTGTTTTTAGAAACAAGAGTCTGTATGTAACGCAAGCTGGCTTGAACTCAAGATCCACCTTGGTCTCCTAAGTGCTGAGATTATGTTGTGGACTGCCATTCTGGTCTGATAAGGCTTCGCTGTGGTGAGCAAGGACAGCTGCATTCCTTGTAGAGTTCCTGCTCAAAGCTCATCTTCTTGGGGATAAAGGTGTTATGTTAGCTCCTTTGGGCATCCAGGCAGGGGTTTGTTCTCCCTTTTTTGATATGCTAGACATTGAATCTAATGCCTTTACACATGCCAGGCAAGCCCTCCATCACTGAGCACACTTCCACCTTGACCCAGGTTTTTGGTGACCAAGATGCTGTCATGTTTCACTCCATCCCCTGGATCCAGCCACTTGGCCTCTCAGCATAGCTCAGAGAAAAGTCACAAGTTCCCAGATGACTTTTCTCTCTTTGCTTCGAACACATGTACAGCCCCCAGGTCTCAACTTCCATTCTTTCAGTGGCATTTTTTTGTTCTAGAAATGGCTATGCGGTGGCCTGCCTCAGGGCCTTCCTCGCTGGACATGATCTTCCCACTGCCAGAGACGGTATCCTGCCCAAAAGGTTCTGCAGAAAAGCTTACTAAGTGTGTGGGGTGGTTGCGTGACAGTGATTGTCCCTCTCCCAGCACTCCATGAAAGCAGAAGGAGACTAACTAGGGGAGAGCCAGGCTGTGCTCTCCCAGCACCCCCAGGAGAGCAGAAGGGGACTAACTAGGGAAGCACCAAGCTGCAGCAAATACGACATTTGTAAGTAAGGGCATCTGTAAATACAACAGCTGTAAGGAAGGATGGATGCTGAAAAACAACCCTTCTATTAACACCAGACAGAGAACAAAAGAGAAATACCACAATAAAAAATGGAGTTTCCAAGAACAGAGGTTTATATGCATACATATCCATATACTTTATTCAAGAATTTTGGATCTATCTCTTTTTATTACAAGAAGACACAAAATGCCTGAAGGTATATAAAACAGTTAATACTAACTTTAAGCACTTTTACAAATGCCAAACTTTTAGGAAATGGAAACTATGGGTTTGTTTGCAAACATTAATATTACTGTCAGGGTACCTGGTGTTTGATTCAACTACATATTAGAATTATGGTGGCTGAAAATGACGGAACCCTAATTAATAACCCGTAGCAAGAGTGTATTATAATAAATGCCATATGATCTTTATCTAAGTGCTGTTGCTATAACTTTCTGTTTATTGAAACTTTTAGGTAGCAGAACTGACCTACTTCAGGAAAGAATAAACATTTAATCTTTGAGCTCAAGTTTGCAAGCTTAAAGCTCTTTATTTCTGCCATTCTGAAAGTACCTTTGGTTACATCTAACTTCTAAAACATCTTATAGGCAATTAATATAATTTAAGGTCATTCCTGCCATCACAACACTCATGGTTTTTTTGTTCCTGTATCAAAGCAATAAGGGTCAAGAGGCAGCTCCTTTTCCACATCAGAGAGAATACCCAAACTTATCAACTACTATCAAACCACTGCAAGTTGTTCTACCACTAGGAAATGAAGGTGCATCATTTTCCTTTATCCTGAAAATGAACAGTGTTCTGCTTGCAAATGCTAAATGGACAAACATTCAGGCTTAATTCATAGCACACAGATGCCACCAGGATTTGGTCCTCATGACCCACTTTCATGAGTTCTAAGATGAAGTCAGAAAACACCATACCAAGCTACAAGTACACAACTGCTAGAGGAGACACCTGCTTGAGGTGTCAGTAGAAAACTTGGTGTGTTCCATAAATTCTGGCAAACAGTGTGTGGACACGTGTAGCGAGCAAGGCACAAAGTGGAGCTTTCACTGCTTAGAGGGCCTGGCCTTTAGGCTACATGGTTTTTGCAAGAGCCTCTAACCAGTAGCCAGAACAGATCCTACTTGCTCTAACCCTTTTCCAGATATGAGAAGAGAAGAATTCGTATCACCTAGCCTGCAGAAGATTTTCTGCATCCTTATACACGATCAGTGTTAGCACCACATCAGAGATGGAACTGAGGTAAAGGTAAGCTCTTGGGTAGCTCCAGGCAGAAGCTGAAGTCTCACTATCTTGATTAGTGTTTACAACAGCATTCTTTTCATTCATTACAGTAAGTTTGCAAGAAGAAATATTGGATTCCAAGTACCCAGGTACACACCAAAACCAACCAATTTGAATGTTGGGTATATAAAAGCTGATATAACAAAACAAAATTCTCCATTTTTTCATTCAAATTATGTTACTGATTGATGAAGTGAAATATTTGGATAAAATACACTGAGATGAACCACGAGGCTGGTTTATCCATTGGAATGCCCAGAATGTTCTATTCCACCACAGCCTACTTCTACCCACCTACCCTCAAAAAAGCCAAGAAGCCTTTCTCTTCCTTCCTCAGACATCTTGATTTGAGTAGATAAGTATCTCAGGAACTCATGCTTATCTTTTGTGTAAAAGAATGAAGAGGGGAAAACTTAAACCTTTGGGTAAAAATATAAAGAGGTAAAATTAAAATATATCTGAGCAAATGAAAACAGTTCAATTAAGAATTAACTGGACAAAAAGGAGCTTGTCAGCAGGCTGCAGGTATAGCTCAGAGACAGCACACACGCCTGCTTCTGAGCAGAAGCCACACCCTTGGCTTGATCCCTACCACAACAATTCCATACAAAGCCAGGCACAATTTCCTAATTAGTTCCTATGAGGTGAAACAGTAAAGTAGAAAATGAGAGACTTAATGAAAATTTTTCAAATTGCTTTTGCCTCTTTCTTTAGCATACAAGAGAAATAAGAGCACTTAGATATAGCTAGCTTTTTGGAGTGTCACAAAACTAATTTTTGAAAGGAGAACAATTTTTACCAATGTTTATGAGGAAAAAATATAACCTTGGAGTGTGCAGAACGCTGCTAGGAACTGGGCTGCTCCAGCAGGAGCTAGCCTTAGTGCTTAGAAGTTCATCACTCCATTCCCCCAGGAAGCCTCAAGGAAAGTAAGCGGGAGGATTTCATCTGACTTAGAGATGAAAACACGAGGAACTTCCCCTGTGGCCTATAGAAATAGTTAAGGGAAATGGTTTAAGTTTGTACTTAACTTAAAATTTCAGCTGCATACTGACGACCATCCTTGAGAAAACTCAAGCAAACAGTCGTTCTTCTTTTATGAATTGGTGGTACCAACTCCATCTCGCTGGTGGCATACACGGAGTGTGACTGGGCAGGGTCTGCAAGAACAGAGGTTGCTAGATGAGGGCTTTCAGTTCTGTGTCAGTCAGTTCATTCACTTCCATGATCTTCTCCAAGTGCTCCATGTACCGGCTGTGGTCCTGCAGGAAGTGAGGGACGCGCATTTTGTTGGTAACTGCCAGTCCTCTCAAGCGATCCACATCTTCATAGGAAACCTGCAAAGGGGAGTCATTTTAAAGCACAACTACAAGGCACACTTTTGTGTGCCTGCAGTATGTCTTCCTTCTCCATGGAATCATCTTTATTTTCTATGCATTTCACACACACACACACACACACACACACACACACACACCACGCATACAACCATTTTGTGCTTTGTTTTGTTGAGGCAAAGTCTCCCCATGTAGCTCAGGCTAGCCTCCAACTATGCAGCCAATGATGGCCTCAAACTCTTGTCTAAACCTTTAAATTAAGGTAGGTACACTGGGGGTTTTCAAAACATAATGACATTGTATGCTTATCTGACTACATTATGGTATAGATATTATTTATTAGTTCTTGGGTAGGGAGTGGGAAGACTGAGACAGGATCTCACTATGTAACTTGGGCTGGCCTTGAATTCATGTTTTCCCTGCCTCAGCTTCCCAAGTGCTAGAATTACAGGCTTGCATCACCACATCAGGCTCTAAACATAACTTTATATACACTGTGAGATTAAAATAATTGTGTGAGGGGCTGGGAAGGTGGCTCAGTGGCAGAGCGCTTGCCTTGCATGCATGAGGCCCTGGGTTCGATTCCTCAGCACCAAATAAGCAAAAAGAAAAAAAAAGCCGGAAGTGGTGCTGTGGCTCAAGTGGTAGAGCGCTAGCCTTGAGCTGAAGAGCTGAGGGACAGCGCCCAGGCCCAGAGTTCAGGCCCCACGACTGGACCCAAAAAAAAATAAAATAGTAATTGTATGACCCTTTATTGTGGTAGTCTGGCATAGAACCCGGTATAACTCTAACTGTAGGAAAAAGGAAACAAGGCTCTTATCTAAAGAGAATGGAGATACAAATATGAAATGGGGGTACATGTGAAAAATTCCTGTAGAGACTTGCTTGAATTGGAATGCCCTTAAGATTCATTAAAAATATAATCTGCTTGGGGCTGGGAAGGTGGCTCAGTGGTAGAGCGCTTGCCTTGCATGCATGAGGCCCTGGGTTCGATTCCTCAGCACCACATAAACAGAAAAAGCTGGAAGTGGCGCTGTGGCTCAAGTGGTAGAGCACTAGCCTTGAGCTGAAGAGCTGAGGGGCAGCGCCCAGGCCCAGAGTTCAGGCCCCACGACTGGACCAAAAAAAAAAAAATATATATATATATATATATATATAATCTGCTCATTGAAACTGTCTAGAAGCAATCGCACTTAAGTATCAAGACATGTTCAGATATTATTTTCTAAATAACATTTCTCACTAAAAGGAACTGGAGTTTCATTGAAGGGCTAATCTCAGATTCCTAGACCATCACCCCACAGATTACTCACTAATATATCAGAGGAAGCATGTTTTTACAATGGGATCTGCGGTCCACTGATTTGACCAGGAGATCACTTCTGGCATCACTAACGATGGTGGCAAAGGGCATGTGTTTCCTGTGGAAACATGCCTCACTTCTGCAGAGTTCTGGACAAAAAGGGGTTAACTGAATCAACTGAGGAGAAAGCAACCTGAGAATCACCACAGAAGCTTTCAAGACAACCATTTTATCTCTTAAATATGTCTTTAAAAAAGAATAGGGTAGAATATACAAAAGAAGCAAAAAATCACATAGTACATTATAAATACATTAAAAACAATAGCAAGGAAGATAAAACCACCCCTATTTGGGGGTTCATTTCACTTAGCATCATCTTATATGGTCATACATAGCTTTTGACCTTTTCTGCTTTTTCTAGACATATACTAGTTATTGCAAATAAGGGAAACCATGGGACCTATGTTTCTTTGGGCCTGGCTTACTTCACTTAATATAATTTTTTCCAAGTCTTTCCATTTCCTAACAAATGGGGCAATGTCATTCTTAATGATGGAGGCATAGAATTCCATTGTGTGTGTGTGTGTGTGTGTGTGTGTGTGTGTGTGTGTGTGTGTGTGTGTGTGTGTGTGTGTGTGTGTGTGTGTGTGTGTATCTCACTGTATTTGATTCCAGTGCCCTGCATCTTGTATATACATTTTTATAATTTGGGGAGGGGAAGGGAAATAACAAAAAGCTGAAATAAGGACACAGGATGACCCACAGTAACAATGAGATGTACAAGACACTATGTTGAAAACAAACTTTACAACTCTGGGGGTGGGGGAGGGAGGAGTCAGGGAGGTGGGGAGGAAAGGGATGGCAGGGGAAAAACAAAGGAGGAGGTAACAATGCTCAATAGGAAATGTACTCATTACCTTACTCATGTAACTGTAACCCCTCTGTACAGTATCTTTACAATAAAACAATACAAAAAAAGAATAGGGTAGGGAACTGTTTCATATTAACAGACATAAAGATTATTTTTAAAATGCATAAATTTGATTTGATCCAGGATCACAGAAAACAAAGAGCTCTCAAGGATATTTTGGAAACAATTTGGGAAATTTGAAGAGGACTGTCTGTGATTTTTTTTCCATTAAATTATTGTTACTGTGAAGGTGATATACAGAGGGGTTACAGTTGGATTTTTTTCTTATTCCTATTGTACTTTATTTTTAGTTTTTGGGTGTCAGTGCTGCATGTTCAATGTTTCACGTTCAATCAGTGATGAGTTTAAGACACTGTGCAGTCATGCCAGAGAACACCTGATTCTTAGGGAGAAGTGTTGTAGGGGAAAGTGGTGCAGCTGTACCTTGACTGTGAAATGCTTATTAGGGAAGATAAATGTAAAAATAAAATGATACACACTGCCCAAATTTCCATTTCTCTCCTTATCTCTTATGACTCCAAAGACACTCTGCCCTGTACCTATGACGGAAGCGTGCTTTCTCTCCCTTCTGCGACCACCCAGGGAAGCTTGGTGGAGCAGCAGTGGGATATACGAGTCTCACTTACTCCTCAACCAGGCTACAGCAATGCTGGTCTGGGGTCAGGGGTCTCGAGCCATTCTTCTCACTCACCTTCCCCAGGGCAGTCAGCAGGTAGAAGTCTATAGAGCGCCTGTATCGGAGGATCTGGAGGGTTCCATCCAAGTACACTTGGTCTTTATTGAAACATCCTGAGGGAAAGAACAAGGTTTACTTTCAGATGTTTAAAAAAACTACCAAGAAATTAGGTACTAATCTGCTCTCTTTTCTGCAGAAACAGTCCTATAGCTAATAACTTCTAATTTCCCAAAATATATTTGCATTTAAATTATCTTCATGAAATCATTCCTGATAAAAATGTCTACTATAAAAAATCAGACACATCCAGTATTCTATATGGATACCGAGCCAGGCCTGTAATCCTAGCTGCTCAGCTCAGGAGGAAAAGTCCATGAAACAATTCAACTTAAAAAATGGAGGGGGGGGGGCTGGGAGGGTGGCTCAGTGGTAGAGCACATGCCTTGCATGCCAGAGGCCCTGGGTTCGATTCCTCAGCACCAAATAAGCAAAAAGAAAAAAAAAGCCGGAAGTGGTGCTGTGGCTCAAGTGGTAGAGTGCTAGCCTTGAGCTGAAGAGCTGAGGGACAGCGCCCAGGCCCAGAGTTCAGGCCCCACGACCAGACCCAAAAAAAAAAAAAAAATGGACAGGGGCTGACGATGTGGCTTAGTGGTAGAGTACTTGCTTAGCATGCATGAAGCTTAACTCTACCAGTCATCAGGTAAATTCAAGCAAAACTACCTCTCTACATCCTCTGGGGATGATGATGATGATGATGATTATGATGATGATGATGATGATGATGATGATGATGATGACACTAGCTTCAAAGATAGCTGAAACCAGTGAAAAACTGGAAATAGCCAGGCATTGGCAAGGAGGTGGGCAAAGCTCTAGTGACTTTGGGAAAGTCTGGTAGTTTCTAAAAGGTTTGGTTACCATATTAGTCAAACAATTCCACTCTTAGATCTACGTCTCAGAGAAAGGAAAACATATCCACACACAGATTTGTGCAGTAATGCTCACAGAAGCATTACTCCTAACAGCCAAAAAGTGAAAACAGACCAAATATTTACCAGCTACCAGGTGTGGTGGCTATTCCAGCCATCCTAGTACTCCAGAGGCTGAGGCAAAGGGTCCTGAGTTATGTAGTGAAGCCTTGTCTCCAAAATCAAAGAAACAGAACACTGAGAGACTACCACTAGGAGGTCTAGTGCTGACCTCAAGTAACATAGGCTTTCACAGGTGAGCAAGTTCTCAGATTCAGGTATTCATGAGATAACCAGCCAGTGAGGTAGAGGACCTCTTTCCCTGAGCCCGCCCCTCCTTCTGCCCTGCTTCCCGGCCCCCTGCCGCACACCTACCAGGCTGGGAAGTGTCAGTCCATCCTCGCTTGGCTCGCACACAATAATCCCATCTGGTATTAGGGTCCTTGACAAACTTGCCAATATCTTTGAAGAGGTCACAAAATGACATTTGGCTGGCTTGATACACAGTGTAGTAGAGGAGGGCAGCCCTCCATAAAAACGGGTCTTTTCTAAACAGAACACTGTGGATGCTTGCCAATCCCTCCTCTGTAGGGTTGTTGGGCTTTAGCTCATGTTTTCTACGACCGACCCAATTACCCCATGGCTGCTGGAGGTTGTTGATTCCTCGAAAATAATGTGTGCCTGTGAAGAAGAAGAGGCACCAGTCATGAGCTATTACACCTGAGTCTTACTCCTCCCCCAGAGAAAACACCTCAAGGTTCATGAAGGGTGAAGGGTGGACTCCTAGGATGACACTACTGGGAGGTGGGGGAAGTTTAAGAAGTGAAAAACATATCTAATGCAGAAGAGAGATGAATGCTCCCTTTGCTCTAATCCCTGCTAATTATGTCTTTGATTAAAATCAAATTAAAAAAGGAGGCCAGGATTAAAGGGCCCAGGGATATAGTTCAGTGGAAGAGCACTAACTTTGCACCCCCAAGGCTCTAGGATCAATTTGTAGCACCATAATTAATTAATTAATTTAGTCAGGTGCGGAAGCTCATTGCCTATAGCCTTAGCACTTGGGAGGAAAAAGCAGGAAAATCATGGGATGGAGTCTAGCCTAGGATGACCAATAAGACCCTATCTCAAAAAAAAAAAAACAAAAAAAACAAAACCCTGTCTCAAAAAAAACTCAGAGAGGGAGGGATGGGGGGGAAGGGAAAAGGAAGGAGGAAGGGGTAATGGGGAGAAAGAAGAAGGGAAAGAAGGGGAGGGGCAAATGGAGGAGTGAGATCTTGCAAAGGGGTCTTTAGGTAACTGAGGATATGTTCTTTTTTTTACTGTGAAAATACCGTACAGAGGGGTTACAATTACTTGGGCAAGATAATGAGTACATTTCTTATCAAGCATTGTTGCATCCTCCTTTGTTTCCCCTTCCCATCCCTTCCCATATCCCCCATTGCCCCCAACCCAATCCCCCCCCCCACCAAAGTTGTAAAGTTCGTTTTTTGACAAAACGACTTGTACATCTCATTGTTACAATGGGTCCACCTGTATTCCTAGTTAAACAATTTGTTTTTTTCCCTTCCCCTCCACAAATTATACCAACATCAAATACAGTGAAAGCAGGGAGGATATGTTCTTGAGTGGGGCAGGGAGACCCCAGATCCTTCTTTCTCGCTTTGGGCTCGTTATTGAGTTATGGTTTTGGTTAGCCGCATGCTCCTACTGTGATGTGCTTCCACACCACAGGCCCAAAAGCAATGGGCAAACCCTTCATGGATGGAAATCTGCAAACCAGTGAGCAGACCAAGCTAGGTCTGGTGGTATGCATCTGTTCCCAGCTATGAAGGGAAGCTTAAGGAGGAGGACTGCTGAGCAAACAGGGCTGAGAGCAGGGCTCAAGAAGGAGAGTGGCCTGCCTAGCAAGGCCTAGGCCATGAGTTCAAACCTCAGAACTACCAAAATAAATCTACTCCACAAAGACATCTATTACCTTTGGTCCAGGTAACTTTTTTTTAAGCTATTCTAAAGAACATTTCTTTGGGGGTAATTCCTGACACTATAAATGAGCAAACAGAAAGGGCTGTCCCTACCTATCTCATGCCTCAGCATTCCTTCCAGCCAGTGCTCACGGGCCGTTGAAACATTGATGGTCAGAGTTGGACATCCATTTACTACTGTCATCGAGGCTCGTGAAAGTAGATCTTCAGTGAGATGTACTACAATCTAAGGAACAAGAGGGAACATGCACACAAAACAAAATGTAAAGGCACGGTGTGTGGGGGGGGGGGGAAGCTTTCACAAAAATCACTATGCACATAAATTAACACTTGTTCTTTTACAGCTACCTTGACTCTTTGGAGTCTCAATTTTTATCTTTGGTAATTCAAGAACCATTAACTGGATATTGGATTGAAGAAAACAGATGGTTGTGCTGAGGAAGACAGCTTAAAACTGTATTTCTGCCATCTTTCAAATAAAATTCCTAGATCTAATGATGGAAAAAGAGAGGAAAAGAGAAGGGCATGGAAACAGAATTCTGCACCATGCCAGTGCCAAGGCTCTGAGACTGACTTCTAAGAATGATTACTAATAAAAACAGGCCACTGGAGCAACTTCTTCATCAACTTCCTTGCCTTCCCTTCCTTTTCCTTCCCTCCCCCCTTCCATCCCTCCCTTCCTTTTTTCCTTCCCCTCCTCACTCTTTCTCTCCTTTCCACTTCCCCTCTCACTTTTCCCCTTTGACTCTCCCTCTTTCCCTTCCTTCCTTTCCCCTCCCCTCCCTCTTCTTCTTCCTTTTTTTTTTTTACTTTCCGATACAGTCTTGCAATGTCAGCTAAGCTGGCCTCAAACTCATTATCTTCCTCCCTCAGCCTCCCAAGATCTGGGATTTTAGGCACAAATCACAGCATCTGACTTAATTACTGACAATTTTCATAAAGTAATTCACATAATCCCCCAAGCTGTATAGGAGTGGCAATAAGCCAAGTCAAAAGATAAGAAAAAAAAAAACCTGAACATATCAAGATTATTCAAGTACAAGGAGACCTCAGAGTGTCTTATAAGAAATGTGGTGACTAACTGAATGAGTACACCAGGGTTCGGAAAATGCCAGCTGTGGGGCAAAGCCTGTACGACATGGCAGAGTGAAAAGGACACAGCAGGCTCCAGGTTCATGCGTGTGAGCGCGCATACCCTACCTCTCCCAAGCAGCCCTCCTTCAGCATGTACTTCCTAACGTGACTCCAGATCCGAGGCTTAGACAGCAAGCTACCACCCGTGGCTTGTTCAAATTTCTCATAGCTTCCATACTTCTGTAAAGTCAGCTCCATAATACGAATGGACTGTTAGAGAGAAAGACATAATGAGAGTAAATGGCCTCGTATTACTTTGTGATGTACAGATATGTAATAAGCTAGTAGTGATCTTATTCATCAAGACTTAGACTAGTTTTATTGTTAACAAAATGGATTGCAACTCAAGTAATGTATTTTCTAAGCTTCCAAATTTTGCTTTATGTGGTTTTATTTTATATTTTTTGGCAGTACTGGGGTTTAAACTCAGGACCTTGCTCAATGGGCAGGCACTCTACCACCTGAGCCACCCCTTCAGTCTCAGCATCATCAAACATTTTTCTTTTCTTTTCTTTTTCTGTCAGTCGTGGGCACTGTTCCTCAGCTCTTCAGCTCAAGGTGAGCACTCTACCACTTGAGCCACAGCACCACTTCCGGTTTTCTAGTGGTTTATTGGAGATAAGTGTCTCACAGACTTTCCTGCCCAGGCTGGCTTTGAACCGTGATCCTTACAGTCTCCTGAGTAGCTAGGATTACAGGCGTTAGTCACCGGTGCCTGGCTAGCATCAACCATTTCTATTCAGTTTCACAAATCTGGCGCTGGTCTACCATAATTGGTTCAGCAGACTCAAGAGGTCTTGTGTCACTATTCATAATTTCTATTTGGAAAAAGAAATCACTTCAGTCTTCTGTGACAATCTGCAAAAGTCACTGGCCTGGCTCTCCTCACAGAAAATAGTCTCAACATGGCTGACACCAGATTTTTCCCTCAGGGCAGGTGATCTCTACACTTCATTCTTCAGAAACTGTCACAGCACAGGAATAAGAAAGTTGGGGTCTTTTTCTCCAAACAGACAGATACAGAATGGAAGATTAAAAATACCAGGCAATAAATACAAATCTTAGCGTGTATGGAAAAAGCACACAGAAAGGATAAGTATCTTATACAGGTTGCAAAAAGGACAAGAAAATCGTGTGTGTGTGTGTGTGTGTGTGTGTGTGTGTGTGTGTGTGTGTGTGTGTGTGTGTGTGTGTGTGTGTGTTAAGTCTGTAATTTCTGGACTGCTACTTATAAAGAAAAAAAAAAGCAAGTTAATGCTATAGAGTTAGGCAACCTGAGGTGAGCTGACTACACAGGAATGACCTCAGGCATCCTGGGAGAGGTGGGGCGTGAGAGTGAACCCAGGACCTACTGTACACAGGCTTCGCATTTTCCTAATCCCAAGGCCTGACCAGTCTCCTCCTCTGTAAACCAGAGTGACAATAGTAGATCTATTCCATGACTAAGAAGAAGGTGTCTAGGACCTGATATCATCATTACTGTGTTACCATTCTTTATCAATACCACCCCTGTGAATAACATGCCTGACATAAAATTTAAAGAAAAACTGCATATTATAAATGATAATTCAACACATGTATCTCCACTGGAAAAATAAACATTACTGATAGGCATGTATCAAAATTATTTTAACAAGGCCGGGTGCCAGTGGCTCAGGCCTGTAATCTTAGCTATTCAGGAGGCAGAGATATGAGGATCCCAGTTCAAAGCCAGCCTGGGCACGAACGTCCATGAGACTCTTATCTCCAATAAACCGCCAGAAAACCAGAAGTGGCGCAGTGGCTCAAGTGGTAGAGTGCTAGCCTTGAGCTGAAGAGCTGAGGGACAGCGCCCAGGCCCAGAGTTCAAGCCCCATGTCTGACCAAATAAAACAACTATTATAGCAAAAAAATGGCTTTAATAGGCTTTACCTGGCTTCTGCTCCCAACACTAACACACATCTGTCTGTGTATGTCTTTGCTTCTCTGTCTCTGGTATTGGGCATTGAGCTTAGGACTTCATACATGTTAGATAAGTGCTCTATAACCTGATCTCTATCTTCATCTTTTTTTTGCTTGTATTCTGTTTTAGAGTCTTCCTAGCTTTGCCACCCTCCTTCCTCTGCCTCCCAAGCATCTAGGATTGGCAACATATCCAAAGTCCAAAACTATTTTTGAAATGTGGACCAATCAAATGTGGACCAAAGGCCAGTAGCATGGAAGCAAAGAGTAGAGATTTTCTATAGGTTTTTAGGTAGAGTATACTACTGGTAGAAGAAGACCTGGCATACCTCATGAGGTTAGCTCATTGAGCAGTTAGCCATGTCCCACATCCATGAAGTCCATCCCAGATTTCCCCATCCATACCATACACATTGTTTACTTTCAATGTTAACAATACTACACATAATGTACATGTCTTCTTTATGTTGTTTTGTTTTTTTCATTAGCTTCTCGCACCAGAAATGGAGCATCTTAATTTGTACATACCTATCCCCACTGCCCCAGTCCTGATGCTCTATGTGTGGGTCTGATTCTAAATCTTTGTGTCCATTTCAGCATTTGGCCAACTCCTGCATTACCATGTTGGGAAGTGCAATAAGAGAATGTGTTCTTGACTTCCAAAATACATATTATCAAGTAAGATAACATTTCTTGCTAAAAAAAAAAAAAATCAGATGAAAGTTGTGGTGGTGCAAGCTTGTAACCACAGCACTAGGGAGGCCGAGGTAGGAGGATGGTGACTGTAAAGCTAACCTGGACTACAGAATAAGACCTTGTCTCAAAAACCCCAAATCAAAAGGCCTCAATGAGATACTATTCCATGCCCAGCAGGATGGCTGTAGAAAAAATAAAAATAAGACTATATTAGGAGGACGTGTGGAACCTGTGTCCACTGCTGGTAGGAAAGTGGTGAGTTACTCTAGGCCACGGTGAAGCTGATCCTCCAAGGTTAAACATGGAGTTGTCATAGTTCCAGAAAACCCACCACTAGGAATGAGCCAAGGTAGGTAACTAGAACAAATGCCAACACAGAAATGTGCATCAAATGTTCATAGCAGTATTATTCACAACAGGAAATGGGTGTTAATAACCCAAATGTCCTACTGCTGATAAGTACATTTTCATTTACATATAGGATATTATCATTCAGCAATAGAAAGTATTGATGCATGCAACAACATGTATAATGTTTCCAGAAGTCAGTCATGTAAGACCACAAGACGATCTATTTAGGGTTCCATTTATATTAATTGTCCAGAATACAGAGAGTAAATCATGTTTGTCTAGGGTTGGGAGATTGGCAAAAAAATGGGAGTGCTTACCAATAGGTACAGAACTTCTGGAGGCGATGGCATCCTGGAATTAGATAATGATTATCACATAACTAAATGCTATAGTTTGAATATGGAATGTCCTCTCCCAGGCTCATTTGTCCTCAGCAGGGGGTGCTATTTTGGGAGATGTTGAAAATTTTGGTTAGTGGAGCCTGTCTAGAGAAAGTAGGTCTTGGAGATGTGTGCTTGGGGCTGGCATGCGATGGGCTCTTCCTGCTTCTGCACTGCTACCTGGCCATCATGATCATCTGCCACAACTAACAACCCACAGAAGATGAGCCAGCTGACCATGAACTGAAACGTCTGAACTATGAGCCAACCTATATCTTTTTCCTCCTTGAACTGTTTGTCTCAGCTGTTTGTTACAGTGAGAAAAAGCTGACACACTAGACATAGTAAAACCCAGTGGAGGGCTGGGAATGTGGCTTAGTGGTAGAGTACTTACCCAGCATGCATGAAGCCCTGGGTTCGAGTCCCCAGTACTACATAAACAGGAAGAGTTGGAAGTGGCACTATGGCTCAAGTGGTAGAGTTCTAGCCTCGAGCAAAGAAGCTCAGGGATTGTGTCCAGGCCCTGGGTTCAAGGCCCAGGACTGGCAAAAAAAAAACAACCAGTGGACTGAACACTTTAAGTGAGTGAATTGTATGGCATATGAATTAGTTCTTGTGTATGTGTATGCGTGTGTGAGCGTGTATATGCCTGCCTGTCTTGGGACTTGAACTCAGGGCCTGAGAGCACTGTTCCTGAGTTTTTGTGCTCAAGGCTAGCATTCTACCACTTGAGCCACAGCTCCACTTGCAGCATTTTGTAGATGATTGGAGATAAGCATCTTATGTACTTTTCTACTCAGGCTGGCTTCAAACTGTAATCCTCACATATCAACCTTCTGAGTATGTATGATTGTACGAATGAGCCACAGGCATCTGGCATCTTAATAAAGAACAATCAAATATAGTACATTCAAACCATTAATCCACAAAATGAATGTTTTCTCTACATAAGATGCTCAGCACTGTCTTGGATAATACAACCTTGCTGAACAATCTCAGTACTCTGCTAAATGGTTTACTTTCAGTTTACTAGCAGATTTGTTTATTCTTCAGTAATTTGGAAATCTGACCACCAATTGCAAGCCACTTCAATAGTCAAGTGCTACAACTATCTCCTTTCTTAACTGTGGTTTTCTCTCAATGGGGACACTGATAGCGGGATGACATGGTATACTATACTAAGTCCGAAGACCTGGTTTCCTATTAGGGCCCCACCATTTACTGGCTGTGGGACCATTGGCATATCATTTAACCTTTCTTCCTTTAGTCCCTTACCAGCTATATCTTGCCTTTGCCCATTCATCTTTCTTGGTTTAGCTCCTTTCTGGCTCTGTCTCACCCTTGCCCCCTTCTTGGAGATGGAAGTCCTTGTTCCACTTACTACATTGGGCTACGAGTATAGTATGGGAGAGAAGAAATATGCCTTGCAATCAATGTACAATATGACTGTGCAGTATTAAGGTTTTGACAGGACACTTCTAGGATTTTTTAGAATTAGATAATCAATTTCTCTTTATACTTTTTATTTAAGGTTATGCTTTTCCAATCTTACTTTTTTTTTTTTGAGGGGTCTTGCTATGTAGCATGACCTGGCCTAGAACTCTTGATCTTCCTACCTCCACTTCCTGAGTACTATGTTTACGGATGCCCAGCACCACACCTGTCTAATCTCTTTCTTTCTTTATTTCTTTCTTTCTTTCTTTCTTTCTTTCTTTCTTTCTTTCTTTCTTTCTTGTTGGTCAAGGCTAGCGCTCTAGCACTTGAGCCACAGCGCCACTTCCAGTTTTCTGGTGGTTTATTGGAGATAAGAGTCTCAAAGACTTTCCTGCCTGGGCTGGCTTT